AATAAAATAAAGAAATGTTTATTTGTGTGCGTTTATTGGTTTGTTTTAACTCAGCCTTCTCGTGGCACTGGATAAATCAAACAGTGGCCACCCCAAAAGACAGAAAGGAGCAGAACCCTCCCCGCCCCACCCCCCGGGGCTTCCCACAGAAGGAACAGTGAGCTCTCACTGTGCTGTCACACTGAGGCTTCGGGGTTTGCTTGCTACCTCAGCAGAGCCAGCCCTCTCCTGACTAAGCCCCCAGGAACTGGATCACCGGCCCCCCTCCTACTCCTGTGCCTGAGAGGCCTGAGCAGAGGGCAGGTGGTAGACAAACATAACCGAAGGAATAGCAATTAGCCTCCAGCTCAGGGAGAAGAAGAACTGGTGCGTCTTCTGGAAGCCCATGCGCTGGTAGAGGGCCAAGGCCGAATGCTGCAGCACGCTGGTGATGAGGACGACTTGGCGGTAGCCCTGGTCGCGCGCGAACTGCAGGACGGTCCTGACCAGGGCTTTCGCTATCCCCTGATGCCGCCACCCCGAGGCCACGCACAGGTGAAACAGCTGCAATTGCTCCTTGGGCAGGGGGCGCTCCTCGACGGGCAGCACGCCCACGATGCCCACCACCTGCCCCTCAGCCTCGGCCACCCAGAAGCAGGAGCCAGGCTCACTCAAGTAGGACTTGCTGATGTCGGACATGTCTGTGCGCAAGCACATGACTTTAAACTTGCTCCAGGGGTATTTGGAGAGGAATCTCAGAGCAGTGAGGAGGGTGAAGCTGGCTAGGAGGGCCAGGAGCCAGGAGCCAGAGACCAGGAAAAGGGCGAGGGGCACCCCAAGCAAGAGCACCAGGGTTTGGGGCAGCTTCAGGACGTGGCGGAAGGTGGTGGGGACGTACTCATCCATTGCCCGGGAGAACAAGTCCAGGACCTGTGTGCGGTGGCTCTCCCGGTATTTGCGGATGTGGTAAGGAGCCATGGAGGTCTGCTGTGCCTGAACCTCAAATGCCGCGAGGGAGTGAGCCAGGTGTCCCTGCACACCCTTCCTGGCAGCCCTGGGGAAGACAAAGGAAGCCAGGTAAGTGCCCCATCTCTGCCACCTCCCAGGAGTGGGGGAGACCCTGCTCAAGGGCATTTCTGCTTTTGCCCTAGAGGATGTAGGCAACAGCCACTGGGAGGTGTAGGGTCAGAATGATTTGCGTATGATCTTGGCTCCATCCCTTTCTAGTTGTGTAACCTTGGTATGTCACCTAACTTCTCTGAACCTGTTTCTTCATCTGTAGAACAGAGTAAAACAAAAACCTGCCTTCTGAGATTGTTTTGAGGATTTAATAAAATAACACATACAGGAGCACCTGGGTGACTCAGTTGGTTAAGCATCTGCCTTCGACCCCAGTCATGATCTCAGGGTCCTGGGATCGAGCCCTGGGTCGGTCTCCCTGCTCAGCGGGGAGTCTGCTTCTCTCTCTCTCTCTGCCCCTCCCCCTGCTCATGTTCATGCTCTCAGATAAATAAATAAATAAATAACCTTTTAAAAAATAAAATAAAGGGGCGCCTGGGTGGCTCAGTCGGTTAAGGGTCTGCCTTCAGCTC